TCTCTCTCTCTCTCTCTCTCTCTCTCTCTCTCTCTCTCCTCCCCTCTCCTTTATCTTCCTCTCCCCTTCCTTCCTCTCTCTCTCCCTTCCTCTCTCCCTCCCTCCCTCCCTCTCTCATTTTCTCTCTCCATACTTCCCTCTATCCCTTCCTTCCTTTTCTACCTGGATATAAATGCTTTAAAGGATAAATAAACTTGATGGGCATGGGACACATGCATCTAATCTCATATTTTGGGAGATGGAGGGAAAAGTATAAAGAGCGCAAGAACAGTCTGGGAAACAAGGCAGAAATCCTGTCTCCTAACACCAAGGACTGTGGTATAGCTGAGTGGGTGAGCTTTTCTCTGCATGCATATGACTTTGGGTTCTAATCTAAGCACTGCAAAAATAACAGAAAATGGTGACTTTGAGGCATATTCTCCAGTGTCTCGCTTCTATTCCTCTTATCTCCAGAGACAAAAACCTCTCCTGATAAATGATTGATGAGACTTGAGATCAGACTTAGTCTATATAAAGACTTGTTATTTACAACTTTATAGAGCTACACTTCTGTGCTATGTTATTACAGGAACAAATAGTCGTTAGAGAGAATAATTCTAAAAATTGTCTATGCAGTAATTAAAAATAACCCGTCTAATCAGTGATTCTTAACCTTGATCAGCCTTGGGGTTGGTAAACTACTTGCTGGCAAAAATTCAGTCTACCACCAACTTCTTATTGAAACATAGCTCATTTGCTTATATCTTGCCTATTTCATACTATAAGGAACTGCTAACATCCCCTTTCCCTTTCCATAAATCCTAACCTGCTGATAAGCCCTTTAGAGAAACATTTATCAACTCCTTATTTAGGTGAGCATCAGATAGCCTGAAGATTCCTGGACCACTCCTGTTTGCCTAATCAGATAATTGTGGGGCTCAGTTGTATCACCGATCATTGGATAAAGTGTTCACAGCTTGATAATTCTTGAGTATATCTCAATGGCTAGATTGAAGAGGTCATGTTGAACCTATATTCCATGTTTATATCTAATATAGGAGGCATAGATCTTTAGACATGGGGAGTTAATGATTCATGTTGCCAAATATGATTTGTTAGACATATGCCTGAGAAAAATTATGTATGATAGAAGCATGGACACATAAAAAACTAAAATAAAACTTTCTCAACTATTCATCATTAGTTTAGAGTCATCACTTAAGAATTGTTAAGTATTCCAAAGGTGGGAAGAGGAGAGCCAGTCCTGGTAGCACATGCCTTTAATTCCAATACTCAGGAGGCAGGGGAATCTCTGTAAGTTTGAGGCCAGCCTGGTCTACAAAGTGAGTTCCAGACTAGCTATAGCTACAAAATGAGGCCCTATCTCAAAAAATGAAGTTGTTAAATATTTGACTTCAGAGGGCTCTTATCAAACTCTTGTTCTGTTTATGTTCTAATGGCGTCACTCTGTTGAATGAATCTTACTGTGTGAGTTAATTTCTCCCTTTGATGAAAATAGCATTTAATTGCAATAAGATTATTTATAAGAATAGGAAATGAATCACATTCATAATTTTATAAACCAAGGCTGGAAATAGTAGGAGAAGAGTTTGATCTGATTGTTTGAATGGAGCCAGTTGGAGGTAACTGCCAAGCTTTGTAGAGACACAATCTTCTGTTATAAAATATTGGAAATAATTTTAGCACAGTGGGGTGTATTAATGAACACTTCTGTTGTGCTCCTTAACTTCTATCTCAACATAGTGGCAGCATCCTTATTATCTTCTCTACATTAAAAACTTTTTTATAGAAGAGCTCAACCTAATTGTAAAAGTTGTGAATTCATTTAAAATGCTTTAAACAATCTTAACCAATGTCTAATTGACTAACTGGCAATATAAACTCAGGAATTTCCCTCCTACTAGGTTTTCCAAGTTGTATTTTTAAAAAAGAAAATTAAAACTTCAATATGTTAAATGTTTTAACTATTAAAAAAATCACCTCTCTAGTGATTTAGATTAAATAAGGTTTCCTTCATGTAAGTACATCAACATTGATAAAAAAAATAGTTGTTTGAGTTGTTGCTGCTAATTGCTAATTGTTTTTGTTGATTATTTGTATCTTTTAGTTGGACTTAGTCCTGAATGAACAGAAAGCCAAGATCACAGCAAAGGCCATTCTTTCCATGACACCAGAGGAATACCAGAAGTCACGAGAAGATGTAAGGGACTTATTTTGCTAATGATATCAAAGTAAAGATGTACAGTGATTTTGAAATTAACAGAAAATTTTAGCTTTAGTATTACAGTAAATCAACTCTTGTTAATTCTTAAACGCTGAGAACAGGGGAAAAACTGTTCAAAACTGGTAATTATTTTATTGGTGTAGGCACCCTGAAAGATAATGTATGCCTGAAAGAACAAATCAGTCACGATTTTCTGAAAAATCATGACTGTTTCCCCAGAAATTTTACAAGTTATTACTTACTGCTTGAAAATCGGGTTTAAAACATCCTTCATTGGGAAGTGTGAAAGAGCCTTTGAATTTTTGATAACTCTAAATTTCATTTTTATTAACTAACATCCAAGGACAGAATCCTTGCTTTGAATTTTAGAAATGCTAACGAAGTTATCGTCTATCAAGGGAAAGCCGTAGTTTACAAATGTCAAGCCTAAGAGAGCTAATCATCAGATTCTGCCGGCAATATTGTAATGAAGAACTATTAAATCAGACCTCCTCTCCAAAGCCCACGCTGGGAAGTTGACAGCGTATTCCATAAATGAAATAATAACACAAAATTGGTGCCAGACAAAGAAGGAAAATGATTTTCATGTTGCTTCCTGGAATGCAAAAGCATTTCATCTTTGAGAGGAGTGGGTATGGATTTGCTAGTCTCTGTATACCACACTGTAAAAAATAAATTTATAACCAACTTAAAGAATAAGATAATGTATACCTTCAAGAAATAAACTTTCTGCATAAATTTAACCAATTTGAACATTGGTCAAAGTAATCTATCCAAAGTTTGAGGTTTTAGTATTATTTTAATCTTAATGACTGTATCATCCTTTCTGACCATATATTTCATAACATGATCAATAAGGTGTATCAAATTTTCTGCATGAATTCAACTCTTAGATAAAAATGTGATGTTATTACAGACATATAGTTCAGTATTAAAGATGGCATTGTAAGCATTGATTAGAATGCTCTGTAGGGAATATTTTATAAAGCATAAATGTGACTATTTCCTGAAATGCAATGAGTAACAACTGTATAGATTTAAACTATAGTTTTGGCTCTTTCCACTGAATAGTTATAAGGTAAATGACTACATTGCTAGTTATAAATTGAAAAAAATTATTCCTTGTACTGAGTGGTTTTATGTGTCAACTTGAAATAAGCTAGACTCATCAGAGAGGAAGGAGCCTCAGTTGTGGAAATGCCTCCATGAAATCCAGCTGTAAGGCATTTTCTCAATTAGTGATCAATGAGGGAGGGCCCAGCCCATGGTGGGTGGGTCCATCCCTGGGCTGGTGGTCCTGGGTTTTATAAGAAAGCAGGCCAAGCAAGTCAGGGGAGCAAGCCAGTAGGTAGTTCCCCTCCATGGCCTCTGCATCAACTCCTGCCTCCAGGTTCCAGTCTTGCTTGAGTTCCTGTCCTGACTTCTACAATGATGGACTATCATCTGAAAGTGTAAGCCAAAGAAACCCTTTCCTCCCCAACTTTGCTTTTTGGTCATGGTGTTTCATCACAGCAATAGAAAACCTAACTAAGACATTCCTCTACATGTTTTACATATGTTTAATCAGAGTTGGAGAGATTATAATCTAAAATAATGATAGATCGTTTTCTTAGGTATAGTCATGTTTGCCCTTTGGCTTATGTGTTTAATCATTGTATGTGTGTGCATGTTTGTAGGTGTGAGTGATGTACATGCCCATGACATGTGTGTGGAAGTTATAGGAATAACCTTCAGTATTGGTCCTCATCTTGTTTGAGAATAGTCTTTACTGTTTACTACTGTATATATCAGCTAGCCTGCAAGATTCTGGGGGTTCACTTTCTTCCACCTCTCACCTCCCTAGAGGGGTGTTGAGATTACAGATGCACACTATCACACTTGACTTGACTGTAGATCCATACTTAGATTGTCCTGCTTGCATGACAAGTGCTTCCCCAACTGATCCATCTCTTTAGTCTTCCCTTTGATATTTTATGTAAAATTATAATTTCATTGCAACTGAAAATTTAGTGGTCAAGGAAAATGATCATTATTTTAGACATATAAAGTATAATGGGAATTTAGTGATCATCTTTTCTCAAAGGCATCGTAATATTTTTGGTATTGCTTTTATTGGCTTAATTTGTTAATTATAAAAGTAGTGGGTTTCATTGTGATATCTTCACACGTGCATATTTTCATTCTCATTAGCAGGTTTGTATTTATTTAACACTATTTGCTTCAGTGTTCTTTCGATACAACTTCAATCAGTTGCATATTTAATTTATCAGGTGCAACTCACAACTGTTTTGTTGTTTGAAAAATTGAACACATGTGTAATTACTAAGTGATTGCTTGGAAAGTGATTCTATTGATTTAGATGTGTAGATTCCAGTGTTCAGGTTAGCAAAAGTGAAGCCAAATTTTAGCTATAGTTCATACACATTTAGAGAAATAAAATCCTAATGGAAAAGGGAAGTGAGAAAATTTAGGGGAAATTACTTCAATTCTTTTCTAAGTTCAGTTCTCCTTTCTTTATTTTGATGATGCTGGGCTTGAACCCAGGGCTTTGTGCACCCCAGGCAAGTGCTCCACTGCTTAGCCACAGTCCCAGTCCCACAGCTTTTGTTTCTACAAATATAAAATTCTATGACTATTTTAAAACCATGATTAAATGTCATAAAATCTCAGATTTAGCTCCTGTTCTGCTGCCTGGACTTTTCTTTTAAAATGGGTTTTCATTCAACATACTTTCTCCACAAAACTGGAAGTAATAATTATACATATATTACAAAGGCTACTTTGATAGAAGTATATGTTAAAGTTCTTCTTTGCAAATTTGTAATTCATTATTGTCAGTTTAAATGTGTGTTATTCCAGGATGTCTGAAAAGTAGACACCAACATTGGATTAAATATGCATGACAGTAAGATTGGGTGGGAGCACCCATCCCATTGTGGAAACAAGGAAAGTTTGCCAAAACTGTCCATGTGTGTTTGAGACATAGTTAGCCATTGTTCCCAGGTGTGGACATGACCTCTGGTCATTGGTGTCAACTTGGTAAGAGTGTTCTGAGCATGGCAAGCAGATCCTTTAGTGAGCTCCACTCTACAGAGTTCTGTAAAGAACAGCTATGAAGCCATCTCATGATGTGGTTCCTATCAATGTCATTGCCGTCAACCCTTCCCCAAACAGCTGGGCTGGGAAGACATCTAAACTGCCTCCATTTCCAATGGTCTCTCCAATATCAGTAGATGCGGTGTCAGATTATAAAGTCATCACATAGGGAAGCAAGGTAGGTCTTCTCACCTGGGGAAACTTGTAGGAAAGTGTGACAATTTGGTAGTCACAGCTGTGCAATGAGAGGTGCCACATATGTAAGGTTTCCAGTGGTTACACTGTAGCTCAGCTGTCAAATCAGAGACACTTAGCTTTCTTTTGGCTCCCCTGTTTTTTCTCGTCTTTTTTTGTCTTTAATTCAAGATTCTCTTT